GTGCACTCGAAGAAATAATAATTAAAAGAAACGCTGTCATTTAATTTCTGTTTTCAGGCTTGATTTCCGCCGATCTCTCGAGTACGCGAGTCGGATCTATAAGTGCGCGAGGGATACTTTCTTGAACAGTGGCTAGTAATCGAACCTATTCCGTTTTAAGTGGTATCTTTGAGGGCTCTAATGAAGCTCGAGCAACTCCCATATTAGTCTCCTTTAGCAGTAAAATTCAAATTTTTCGACGAGCAACCCTGACCTTTTCATATGGGAGTTTCCCACCCCCCGGGTTTCAAATGTCTAACAGGAAGTGACCCAGTGAAGGTGTGTAAATCGCTTCACCACTACAACTTGGAAAATTATATTTTCCAAGTTTAAAAACGATAGGTACATATCTTTCACTGGAGCACAATCTTTTTCTGTAAGAACTTCTAATTTCCGACCGAAGCTGAACGTTCTTAGTCGTTTGGAGGGCCATTTGAACCTGAAGTCACTTGAGTTTATGGTAAACTTCGTATGATTCGTAATTTTAGTAAATTAGTTTAATTCGATGTTAACGGGAATCGTTGCTGTTTCTCAGTTTCCGTGAATTTCGTAAAATTTGTAATTTTCGGAGATTTCTTTTTAAACTTTTGAATTAAATTTTTGATTTTCGTCCAGCTTTCGCGATTTCCGTATTTTTTGGAACTTTCATAATTTTTCTGGATGCCACTGGGAAACCTCCCTACGAATTTAGCGATCTTTTCCTATTTTCGTTTATCTCGCAGCGCATGCAAACAGCCTACTAAAAAAAAGGTAAAATTTTCCATTTTCGTTACTGCATTTAATCCTGGACATTATCCAAATGAAAGGCCACTGATGAGAGTTGGGATCATCACAGATAAATGACCAAACAAATTATATTTAACACAAGGAAATGACCGATACTTAAAACCAATGTGATACTTAAAACCAGCATGCATGGCTGTTTGTATTTGTTCATTCATAAGGTCTCCAATTCGATGAAAAAAAAAACTCTATAACAACATCATTCTAACAGTAGAAAACAATTAAAAGTACCTGAAATTTCCATTAAAGACAATTTGCAAGCCACGTACTCCTCTTTCAACATAGTGGTTGCTAACTTTATACTCTCCATACCAAGCTTGTCCTTAACCTTCTCTGTAATGAGGCACTTCTCGGCTTCTGCATTGAGGCGACCAGAGCAATAATCCTCCCACAGGCTTTCAAGAATCTCCAAGCTACAGCACTTGACGGTTGTTTTGATGCAACCCGTCTCAAAGGTTACATTCCGTAGATAAAGCTTTCCTACTAAGTATGTGTGAAAGTCTTGTAGTCCTTCAAATGACGAGAGATTAAATTTTTCCTTCATGAGCACGTCAACAGCCATCTGTGCCATGTATCTCTTCACCTCTTCACTTTGTTCTCGAGGATCTTGCTCCTCTGAGTTTCTGCTGGTGGCACTAACGCAGTGAATCTTCCAAGACAATATACCTAATAAAGAAATAGTTTGTCATCTTGCAAGATAATGTTTTGCTGTTACCGTTATTATCGTTAATTGTATTTGTCTGTCTGTACTACATCGATTTCTTGTGATTGTTTCAACAACTATCAATCCATCAATCAATAAATTAATGGGTGGGTTGGTGAGTGGGTTGCTGGGAGGATGGATGAAACACTTTTTTTATCTCCCTGACCATTCTTCATTTTCTGTTCGTCGCTTGATTACAAAAATGCAGTTGAATGGATTCACAGATGAGTTCGTCTGTTTTATGGGTCTCGTATTTACCTTGACGCATTATTCGTCTCAGACGTATAATGCGTCTGTTTTATAAGTCTCCCAGACGTATAATACTATTAAGTTCTTCTGACGTTTAAAGCGTCTCATTTTCCGTATTTACTGAGGCATAATACGCCCGAGATGAATTACTCGTCTGTCTGGGTAAATACGACCAATGTCTAATCATTATACCACACGAAAAAAAAGACGTCAAAGATGTACGCATGTAGCTAGACTATCATGGCGAAAAGTGAAAAGAAAGTAAAGAATCCAATATAAAACTAAACTTTGTTCAATTTAGTACAAAAACTTCAGCACAATCATCTTCAGCAATTATAACCACCTCGTTCAGGATTTGGGTTCGAACTTTTCCGTTTCAGACCACTTCTCACTCCACTGAAGTCTCCGCTGTAATGTGTTCTTGCAGTGACACCAGAGACGTCTCCTGTTACTGTTCCTTCTGGTACTGGATCAGCAGGTGCTATAAGGACATGCAATAACGGCTTAAACCAAATGAACCATGAAAGAAACAAAACTCGTGGGTTCCGGTGGATATATTGTGAGTCAGATTTAGCTAAGATTAAACCAGGAACAATTCTCACTCTCCCCTCATTACAAGGGCGTAGCCAGGATTTTTCAAAAGGGGGTCACACTGAGTCAAAGTGAGGGTACTCACCAGATCGTCATGACGTTTTCGCCACCTGTTGTAGGTTGTTTGCTTGAAAAAGGCTTACAAAAAAAGGGGGGTCACGGGCACCCAAGGAGCCCCCTAGCTACGCCCTTGCATTATCATTCTGTGATGTAGCCAGGGAATGTCAACCTTAATTTAAACAACTTTGTACAAGTACACAAAAAGAAACCTACTGTCAACACCATCCACTACACAGCGTGGAAAGAAATTTTACTTTTGATGTCAGCAAAGTAGTTTTTTGCCATAGATGACCTCTCATGATATGTAAATACTGCGTAACTATAAAAATAATTCAGTTAATCTACAGCTTTGAAATGAATTTAGTCTGTTACTAGCTAGGAGAAAGGTCTCTTTCAGCAGATGAGTCCTGACATCGCCATACCCAATGAATTCAATTCGTCCGAAGTTTTTTACTATTAAGTGTCTAAGCAAAGTAGTTGTCCTTAACTTGACCAGGGAACATTTCAGCGCTAATATTTTTCAGACGTTACTTTTAGATCAGAAGTTTCTATGGCAACCATGTTTTCAAAGGATGTCTTACCTGAATATGGCGTTTATTATTTCCTGTTGTAGTGAGATGCTGGGTATAAGAAGGATTTATTCCAAAATCGTTACTTTAAAAGTCATTTTATCTCAATATTTTCCGGATGTTTTCAAATAAATTTTTGAACTGTTTTGACAGTTATGAAACATTGTTAAAATCCAAGGTGGAAGACATTTTCAATTATGACATCATTTAGGCGTGATATCCTCCCGTAGGATCACAGCCTTGTCGTGGTCGGGGGGCTTGTGTGTCTCAGTGACCCTGAGAGCTATGCCTGCGGGAGATTCATCTCCTGGTAGTGCCACCCAAGCCGGACAGGTCAAAGGGTGGAGGCCTGACAAAAAGTGATCCACTGGCCCTCCAGGTTTGGGGGTTGGGCACAGGGCTAACAACCCAGTCCCGTAAAAAGGTTTTTATTACGGAAACAGCAGCAAAGGAAACTATAACTACTGGGTGTGAGGGGCCTCCAGAGTCGTCGGGAGATACTCGTATAAATGTCAGTCGTGGAAGCCGAAAGGAAGACGCTGACAGGATAACGAAAGTTCTGAACGCCAAATGCAAGACAAAAATAGGGTTCTGGAGGTTATTGGAGGTACCTTTTTTCCAGACAAAAACATATACAAGTTGACATGGTACTTCCCTAATGGAAGGGACAGAAATCAGATTAACCACTTGATGATCAATGCTACCTGGAGACGTTCACTCCTTGATGTCAAAGTCAGGAGAGGAGCAGATGTCGGCAGTGATCGACATCTTGTAGTAGCGGTGTTGAAGGTAAAGCTCAGGAAAACAGGCATCAGGAAGGCGAATAGGGCGCGGTTTGACGTCAAAAAGTTAAAAGCCCCCAAAGTGAGGAGTGCATTTGTGCTGCAGCTGAGCAACAGTTTCCAGGCACTGGCGGATATGGAAGACCACACATATCCAGATATTGATGTAATCAATAATAGGTGGGAACATGAAAAGAAAGGTTACCTGAAAACCAGTGAAAAGAAAAGAAAAGGAAGGAATGGATAACAACAGACACATGGCAAACCATTGAAAAACGGAGAGCCCTAAAGAAGCAGGTGATGGAAGCAAAGTCTGACAGGCTGAAAGGAAGGTATAACCGGCAGTACAGGGAGGCAAACCGAGCCGTGAAGAGAAAGGCGAGAACAGACAAACGGGCATTTATGGAAACCCTTGCAAATCAAGCAGAAGTTGCAACAAGCAAAGGGGAGCAGGGGAAGGTGTGTAAGATCACCGAAATAGTATGTGGCAAATATCGTGGAACCACAGACACACCAATCACATACGAGTAGGGACGACTTCTAACAACAGAGGCAGAACCAGAAGCTCGATGGTCAAAGCATTTCAGAGAAGTCTTGAACAGACCACCGTCAATGACACAGGCTGATATACAAGAGACAGCTGAGGCAGATCTTGACATCCACATTTAACCCCCAATAAAAGAAGAAATTGAAGCAGCCATTAAATCCCTTAAAAAAGGAAAGGCCCCTGGACAAGTTGATCTCAGTGCA